CCAAAGCCGTACTTGTAGGTGGTCCAGGATTGCTTCCACGTGAGCTCAGTGTCGTGAGAGTTTCTCTGGACAACAGTCCAGCCCTTGCCTTCGGTGTCCATGTCGCACCACACCACACGCGGAGGAGACCCTGCCGGCTGGATGACGTACACCCCGCTGGGGCTGGTCTTGCGGAGATGGCTGCAGTCTGCGGGGAACCCTGCAAAAGCATCAGTGGCAAACACAGGGCAGGGTGGGAGAGAGAAGGACCAAGGAGTTCCTGGAGGGAAGTGATGACTCAGGACAAGAAGAGCTGGTTTTATCTGTTGTCTACTCCACAGTGCAGAGTGGCTTTTTCACTGGCTCATCCACAGGGCAACTGAAGGTCTCTAAGACAGTGGCCCTGGTAAGAGTTCTAGGATCTATTTCTCATGACTTTCTATTTCATTTAGAGCTTTCTAATACATCTGTCCAAGAAAAGACAGGAAAAAAATCTTCTAGAAGCCAGTGATGTCCTCCAAGTGTATCTGGCCCTCACACAAGACCCTTGATATATTGAGCTGCAGCTCTTTATGCAGTGAAAATTTATGTTTTCCCTGGGGGTCATGGCATTGCAAAAGAAGGCTAAGTTCTACCTTGATCTTACAGGCATATCTTCCCCCAGCTTGTTGCAATTTATCTGTTAGCAGGACTGATCTGACATGACTCACTTGCCAAACTCATTTGCTGTCTAATTTGTTTTTTGTTTTGTGTCTGATGACGGACAAATTGCTGTGGGTAATTCCGAATCAGCCTGTGAAAGTCTGCTTTTCTCAGGCACACAGGTCTTGCAGGGAGTGTCACTCTCCCTTGCAGGGGGGAAGGGAAGAAGGGAGTCTCTGATATTCACTCAGGGGCGATGAAAAAAGAAAAAAAAAAAAAAAAAAAAAAAAGCTGAAAAAATGCTGAGATGATCTCTTCTAGAACTGAAGTGTAAAAAGACACAAGCTCTGCAGATCAATCCTGCCAAGTTATGGTGTTTGGGCAGAACACCCTTGGTTCCAACATGGAGCCACCAAGGGGGTGAGGATGACAGGTGTCAGGCTGCTTACCTGACAAGCCATGGCCCTGGAGTTTGTGCATGTGAATTCTTGTGTTCTGGGTGCTTGCTGGCCCTCATAGAACTTAGCAGACCTGAGAGTTAGCTAGAGAGACACTTTCCTGCTCTGTGCCTTGGTGCCCAGACTGTGCCCCACACCTACCTCATACTTACCACTCCGGGAGCTAGCAGTGGGTGCTGCTGGGCCAGCGCTTGCACAGAGGAGAAGCATTGCCACCACCGTGAGTAGGAGGACAAGGTCCTCACGGATCCAGCTTGTCCCAGCCTGGAACCCTGGGGAAGAAAGGGCCCAGCACCTTTAGGATCCCTGGGCAGTCCCCTCCACCCCTGCTGATGCCCCCCCCCAGGAGCTTGGACCAGGGAAAGCAGAGCCATGGGGCACAAGCGGGAGCAGGGGGCTCCCAAGGCGGTGGAAGCTGCAGATTCACTGCAGGCTCTGCCCCTGCAGGGCTGAAGTAAGGTGAAAAATAGCTTTGTCACCCTCCTGATCAACACCTTCCTTGAACCAAACAACAACGTGCAGATCTGCTTTCAGAACCTACAGCCCAAGAATAGCTAAGAGAGGACAATGACACAGCTAGATCTGGGGATAGTAGTTTGCCAGGGGGGAGGGATCACAAGAAAGAATTATTTTTGGAGTAATCATGCTGAAGCCTTTTGTATAATCCACTCCAGCCCAATGACAGCTAGTGGGAAACCAAATGCAAAGGATGGGTCCCATTGCACAGATACCAGCTCCCAAGCAGACAGGAGGAAGTCTCCTGGGCCCACACAGTGACCCAAGGCCAAACCTTCTGTGCTGGCTACCAGCACACTCTACACCCTGCACTAGCTCAGTTTCTAGGGGAGATGCCATCATGCCTGGGGAAGGATCCCTGTGCAACCACATGGCCCACATGCATTGGTCAGGAAAGAAAAGGACCAAGTTGAAATCTAAGTCTCCCATTAATCTCCCTTGACAGGATATGGGAATACAGGCTGGCACCAAGCATGTGTGTCATTTGGTGCTTTGGTCTTGCGTCCCTTCTGTTACCAGTGTGCCTGGCAGCATGCATCACCCAGGCAAGATCACCGCTGCTGTCTTGCTAATCATCTTGTGCCTTTGTATACTCACCCCAGTCAGGTCTTGTTTGAGCCCAGCACAACACATGAATGCAGTGTGCTGCTGGGAAGATAACTCACCCATCACAACAGCACGGCTGAGCAGAGAGCAGGAACCCAGTGGTGCACCCTCCGGTGCCAAACTTTCCACACTGACTTTATAGGCACTGCACACGCCCACTTGCATTCACACATTATTTGTAGAGGCACAAGGAGGCACTTGCAGATTGTTCTTGGATCCCACGACAGCACAACTAAACCCCCTGAGGGGAAGGAGGCATGCCTTTCAAGCCAGAGAAGTACAAAATAATCCCCTCCATGGTAAGGGATTTCAATTACTGACTCTCCCAGATACACAAACACTACAAGTGAATTGCCTAGTTGGAGCAAATTCTGGAGCGCCATGATCAAAATGAAGTGGAGAGACCCAGCTTTTTAAGGACATACTCACAGAAACTAGCAAAGGAGGAGAGATTAGATCTCCTATGTGCCCAGTCCCAAAGGTGACCTTGGAAAGATGAGGACAGCTCCTCAAGAGACGTACCTGCTTGGTAACTCTCCACTGGCAGGTCTCAGGATCAATGAGTAAAGTCATTGGTCTGGAGCCAGTGGCCACCAGCCAGAAGTCACTGTATACACAGTGTCCCCTGGCACCCCAATCTGCATGCTCTGAATAGAGGGTAAGGACTCCAGGAACAATCAGGTGCCTGTGGGGCCCTCTGCCATTCTCCTTCCCGTTCCTGTCTTTGGCCTGGTGAGACCCTGCAGATTGCTCCCCAGCTGCAGCAACGTTGACCAGGGGTTGCTCCCACTATGGAGGTCTCAGGACAGATTATTCGGGAGGCCTGTTCTTTGTGCCAGAAGGTGCAGACAGCATCATCACTTTGTTAAGCCAATTTTAAGAGGACAAAGATGTGGCCCTTCTAGGTCCTTCTGCTGTGTTGGTTTCAGCAGCCTACTGACCAGATGCCTTCTTTGTGGCGCAGAAAAAAACCTGGCGCCACAGCAAGACAGTGCCAGGCTGAGGCTCTCACCAAACTTTTTGTACTGCAGGAACCCACATCAAACAGTGCAACTTGCAGGTCTGGATGGACAGCAGCATCCAGACTTCTCTGAGGTACGATATCCATGGATTAACTTCCACCTGTACCCTCAGATCTTGCCCCTGCTTCCTTGGTTAGAGGCTGGGAGCCCTTGTCTGCAGCCTCATTTAGTCTGGGAGAACCACAAAGGCAGCACTTCCAAGTCTATGGAGGGAGGAGCGCCCAAAGCTGCCCTGAGATGACAGACCCCAGGCAGAGGGGCCACTTTCTATGGGGGCAGGGGAAGTGGGTGACGCAGGGGCTCCCAGGGGCTGCCCCCAGAGCTACTGACAGCGCTGAGCGATGCAACGCCGCAGGGTGCAGTGGGGTGCCTGCGCCAGGGCGGGTGAGCAGGCTGCTGCTGGTGAGCCACCCCTGGGATCGCTGCTGGCAACGGGGCTGCCGGGTGCAGCCAGAACATGGAGAGGAAGTCCTCCCCTGTCCCTGTGTACAGCTGGCTCCACTGGGCTGCTCCAAACAGAGGCAAATGGTATTTCCTGCAGAGAAACAGTGTGTCAACAGGACAGCTTATCTACAGTCCAGCAGAGACGCTGCATTTGACTTTAGCTGAAATATTCCAAATTATTCTAATTTCCCTCCTTTCCCTTATGTCCATTGTCTCTCTCATCCTATCTCTGTGCACCTCCAAGGACAGTCATAGAATCACAGTGTGATGGAATAATTCAGGTTGGGAAGGACCTCGAGAGGCCATCTAGTCCAATCCCTGCTCAAAGCAGATCTGAAATACCAGGTCCTTGTCCAGTCAAGCCTTGAACACCTCTGAGGGTAGAAATCCCACAGGCTCTCTCTGGGGACCTTTTCCAGTATTTGACCAACCTCCTGTTAAAAGAAGTCCCTATTTCTAACTGTAATTTCCATGTTCCAACTTTGATCCACTGTTTCTCATCCCACCACCATGTACCTCCTTGAACAGTCTGGCTCCACGTTCTCCGTATCCTCCCATGAGGTAGCTGTAGTGAGCAATGAGACCTCCCTGTTGCCTGCTCTTCTTCAGGTGGAGCAAGCCCAGTTCTCTCAGATTCACACCTCCTCACATCCTGAGCTCCAGGCCACTGACACGTCTTGGTGGCCCCCGCTGGACTTGCTCCAGTCTGTCAATATGTTTCTTGTAACGAGGGGTCCAAAACGAGACACAGTGCTCTGATGAGCCTGACTTCATCTGCTCTCTACCCTCGCACCAGGTAGCTGTAGGCAGCAACAAGATACCATCTCAGCCTTCCCTTCTCCAGGATGAACAAGCCTGTCTTTCTCAGCCTGTCCACATATGTCATGTGCTCCTGCCTCAACTGTCTTGGTGGTCTTAGCTGGACTCCTGCTGGAGGTTTAGTGGCTGTGGTATACGGGGGAGCCCCACACAGGACACAGCACTCCAGCTGTCATCTCACATGTGGAAGTGAATAATCCCTTCCATCACCCTCCTGGGTGTATTTTTCAAGACGCAGCCCAGGACTCAGCAATAAACAGATCTGTCCCACAACTGTGGCTCTGTCAACATCAAACATACACTGAGCAGGAGCTGGGCCCCAGGACACAGCTGGGGTTTCAGAGAAAGCCCCTCTACGGCCTTCCCCATGCTTGCTTTGCACATCCTAACCCAAAAACCAGTCACAGTCTCCTGGAAAAGCTGGCTGGGGACTGGAAGCTGTTGGTGAAGCTCTGCTGGGGGTTGCTGCCTGCCTTTGTTTCCATCTGCTGTTGAGCAGAAGCAGCAGCATAGCAGGGCATGCACAGGAGCCTCCAGCACCAGGCAGCCAGGCTGCAGGCGAACAGCCTGTGACAAAAGCCCAGCCTGCTCCTCTGCGGCTCTGGCCATCTCGTGCTGCCCAGCACAAGGTGAATGCTGGGGTATAGGAGTTCTCATAACTCAGAATATTGTGGTGTCAATCCCTAGGAAGAGGATGGCCCGGCATTTTCTGTAAGAAATCCACGGTGTTGAGCACTCCTAGTAGCAGAGAGGGGCTTGAAGTGAGACCATTTTACGTCAATGTCATGTCACGATTCCCAAAACTCTGCAGTGCCAGAGGAGACCACAGTGCACGTTGCGCAAGAGGCAAGTGTGGTTGTGGCAGGCCAGGCACGTCAGGAGGGACCTGGAGTGGCACTTTCGGAAGGTCGGTGCACAATTTGCCAGGAACACTGGAGTACCTCTTTCCTGAAGGGTCTAATGGGGTCCCCAGTGGCTGTTGGGCTCAATGCCTGCTCTGGAGAGAGGGATTTACACCTGATGTTTGATTTCCATCCAGGAGAGGGAATGTCATCTGGGTATTTACTTATGAGTTGAAATGTTCAGAGGTGCCCAGACGATGCCGTTCCCTAGGGAAACCCTGTCAGGGCAGGGGGGCAGCAAAGCACTGTAAATCGTGGTTGGTTTAAGGCATTTGCTTGTTGGCACCAAATTATTTGCTTTGCCTCTGAAGAAAGCTCTTCACCTTTGCGAGACACAGCCTTCATTGTTGGAGGACATATCACTTAATGATGAAGAGCAAATAGGCCATAAGCCACTAGTCCCATTGCCAACCAGAGGATAAGTGCCGTGGTTTGGGTCTCGTGCCTCCACCCCCTCACCTGCTGAGTCCTATAACTTTCAGGCTGGACATCCCTCCAGCCAAGGCAAACCTGCTCAGCTTCTCGTCCCGCAGGGTCCCCGCAGAGACAGCATGGGTGAGTGTGGGATGGGATGGGAGGGGACGGCACTGCTGCGTGTGGCTGCAGGTCACAGGGCATCCTGGCACTTTGTCTTCTGCAGGGCTCCCTTCTCCCCACACCCTGGCCATCCCAGCACTAAGTCCATTACATTATCCGGGCTCTCTGTTCCCTGGGCTGGGAACTGGAGCAGGAGGCTGCATGTTCTGCTATGTTCAGGCTGTATCAGTGTAGCCCTGGGGTACCAGTTAGCCCATTTTCCAAGCCTTATATTTACCAAACTTCCTCTGTAATTTTCACCTCTCCAAGAAAAGTATTAAATATCCTAGAATGGATTTTTTTTAGATATTCTTGCTTGAGGAGTGATATTGAACAGGTATGAAGATCTGGAGCTTAGATGCTCAAAAGCACACTAACTGTCCCCAGAAGAGCACCCAGGAGAGGCTGATCCTTTCCCCTGCATCTCCTTCCTATCCAGACTTTTCATGACTGTTTAGGGGGGAACAGACCAGCAGTGGAGGGAGCATTGCTTCTCTGGTAGAATAAAGAAAAAATGTTGTTAAACATGTCGCTAAACACAAGTGTATCAAGACACTAAATGTTATGTAGCAACTGAGAAGCGAATCAGTTGGACTGAAGTGTGTTTAAAAGACCTTTGCTGTAAAACTGTAACCTGCACTGGTGACTGGGACAGCTGTGAGCATTCTCAGAAAGGGGCACTTCTCTCTAGAGTGATTGCGATTGCACACAGCGGTTCCAGACCGGCATCGTTGATCATTTTCCTTCTCAGTCACCTCAGGGAACAGTGCCAAGCCCGGGTATCCCAGGGCAGTACAACAGGCTTGGCTCCGCTCCTTTTCAAAGAGTGGAGGGATCACACTGGTAATCTCCCGGGGTGAGCTACATGTATCGTATCACGAGCAGATTTCCCCATGGGCAGGCGTCTCCACCATGCCTCACGCTTTAGAAATTATGATAAACTATTATTTTATTTAGATTTAATATTGCAAAAAGTGTGCTGGTTTCCCTAGGTGCTTTGAACAAGAACAAACCAGAGCAGCTGGCTACATATGGGAGTTCTGAAGTAGCCATATGCCAGGCAGTAGCCCCGGTGCTGCCCCTCTCAGTCACGCTGCTTTCATGCAGAGTCAAGAAATACACGCAGCCCTGTCTGGGGCTTGTTACCACCCAGACATCTGGGTTCTTACTGCCCATAAACCTGGACTGGAGGCAGGCATAGTCTCAGTTTACACTATGTGAGTGTGTCATAGAAGCATGATAGGAGCTGGGAGAAAAGCAGTTTCCTCTCTCCATGCTCATTCTGCTCATTATCTCCAGCCCTGAGATTTGGTTTTTACAGGGATTTCTGATTACAATCACTTTGGGTTTGGACAAGGTTTTCACACTTCTTCTGTTTCAAGAACCACCAACAGCAGGTGCCACCGCAAACAACTCCTGCCACTGAGCGTATGACGGTTCATCTAGATGAGGGAATTGAGGCTTATGGCTCTGAGAGGGAGCTCTACATGTAAAGAATTTTATTTTCCTATTTTACTCTGCAAGTAAAGGAGTCAAATGGGATTCATGGCTCTCTAATGGAAGAGTTATAATCTCTCTCTTCTTTTTCCAACCTCTTCCCATTTCAGCTGCCCAGCATCTTTGTCTCCTGCTTTTCACCTGCCTGCTGGCCCTGGCATCATCTCTTCCTGCCTTTGACATAAAAAACTTGCATCTCCTCAATGGCACACTGGATGAAATTATGAATGTTCCCCCAGAGTCCTCCCAGCTCGGTAAGTATACCACTACAACAGGGAGTGTCAAGCAAGGTCACGTTCAGTCAGATCCTACACAAACCTCCACACCAACCTAATCTCACCCCTGTTACATGGAGGAAAGACTAAAATACTGCTCTATGCCAATGAAATGTAGGCTGCCTTACTGGAGCAAGAGTCATCTTAGAGTCCTCCTCTGCTTGCGGCCTGTGTCTTCTCTTGTCTGCCATGAAGTTCTTCTGTCCATAAGTGAGTCCAATAGTCCAAAGCCCGGAGTTCACAGGGTCCGAGGAGAAAGGACAGGTTCAGTCGCATTGTCAGCAAGATCGAGCCAAGGGTGTTCTGGGCCATGGAGTCTTTCTTGGAGAAGCAGCGTCAAAGATGCTAAGGCAAACAATCACCATGTGTTTTGAGGACATGAAGAACAGCAGACACCCCTGGAAATCACAAGGTCAGCAAAGAACTGAATTCAAGAGAGAATCGAATACAAAGAGGAAGTAAATGAAGTTACTACAAAGAATATAAAGTAGTGGCCCTGATAGAGACCAAGTAACCTTCAAATACCAAGGTGTATTGGAGCAATGAGGAAGCCTCCGAGAAATGCTCCTGGAATAAAACTGGGGCCTATGGGTGGGACATGACACAACAGAAAGAGCTGGTTCCCTTCCAAGTGAGGAGGAAGAGTTCTTGGGAGAAAAGCTCATGGTTCAAGTGTTTGATGCTGGTTTCACATCACCCTTCACTGTAAAGGTCAGCTGTCAGGAAACTGCCAACACAGAGAGCATTCATGACTGAGGCAAGAGCTTGGGTTTCACCAAGAACTGCAAGTCTGAGTAGAGAAAGGTGTGTGATCTGGGCTTCACACTCCTCTCTCACCCAGATGACTGGTAGGGTGCTCTGAAAACATGAGCAGCATGAATCCAAGATGGGTAAGTAGGGAGGCCTGCCAGAGAAGACAGGCTAACATTTGAAACTCTTGACTTGCGGGGGAGTGCTTCCAAATGGATGGGAAGTAAAGGCAGAAAGGAGCAGGGGCAGACTATGGTTTACAAAATGAACGTGAACGAATGAGTTCATATGGCCGTAGCAGAAGTAAATACCATGATAGGAAAGTCCTCCAGACCACATTACATGAGTGTTTCCCACTCCACACAGGCTCAGGCCAACCACTACGTTCACTGGTGGTCTTCAAGACACATTTGGAGAGAGTTAAAAGGAAAAGGGTCAAAAATCTGGCAGGCAGACTGTGTCAGGGAATGCTGAAGAACTGAATGGTTTACCCCCAAAATCAGAAGACCATGGAGGAAGAAATGACAGCAATATTACCATCTGTCTGCAGGGAAAAGTGTACCATGCATGTAGTAAGAGAAGGAATGGATTTATACACAGTGCCAGAGGCTTAAGTTAAACACTTCCTAAGGACAAGGATAGGAAAGCACCAGCTGAGAGTGAAAGCAGGGATCAGGTATTTGAGGATATCAGAGACCAGCAGCTGCAGGGTTAGGTGTCTGTTTCAGAGAGGGGGACAGGAATGGTTTTTGTGATTCCATAAGCCTGTGTTTCATTCCTCTGGTTTATAGCCATCAGTGGATACACACACGATGTCGTGGCAAAGTAACTGCATTAATTCACTCTAAACCACCCTCTGTTCCAGCAACACCCTTCAAATTCCCTTCTGAGCCAGCTGAACAGAGCCCCTCTCACAACTCCTGATACCTGCACGAGTTTTCCTGTGTCTGCTCTCACATTTCTTCCCCTTCTAATCGCTCATCTTTCTGAGTCTCTTCCTAGTTGCTTCTGCCTGCACTTTCACACCCATATTTCCAGTGTTGCCACCACCATTCAGGGTCTTTCCCCAACACAGTGTGCCCAAAGCCTTCTCACCAAGGAAGCCCCATTCTGACACCATGTAAATTCCCTAAAACTACCAACTGGTCGATATCTGAAATGGCAAAGTCTCTCTAGAGCTAGGAACAACAACAGAAAAACAGGAATATCATCAGTAGAAGACCATGATCTCCCAGCAGGCATTTGATATGTCTGCTCTCAACACTCACTCCTATCTCCTCTGTTCTTGTTCATTCAGGTAATGACAGCAAACATGTTCGACAGGTCAGAGACATTGCTCCCCACCCACCGGCAGGCCATGGTAAGTCTCTTCTCAAGGAGTACATCTGGTCATAAGGTTTCACCATTTCTAGGAGCCTAGAGGCTCATGAAGAGCTCTCAGCCACCTTAGCCCATGTCCTACATGTGCACTTGCTCCTGTGCAAAATCTTGATTTTCTGATAGGCTACAGAGGTGCCACAGTTCATAACCTCGGTGGGAGTCGATTACCAGCCATGTCCTGGACTCAGTAGTTAATGAAGATCTTTAGCATGGGGAATATTCCAGCTAAAGATCCAGACTTGAAAGTGATGATTCATTATTGGCCTTTGGGATGTGGTGATTTGTTATTTTCCTATTTTCACTATACAGTTGATGAGAAGACTGGTTAAGACAGGGACTGACTTACTGAACTGACTGAGTCAATATTAGCCCATAGGCTTCACTGGGTAGGAATAACTAGTAGCAGAGGTACTGGGAGCAGAGCAAGTCCCTTCTCAGAAGTGTCCAGGTGTGCTCAGTTGTTTGTTGTATAAGGGGCTGACACTCTGGAGCGTGGAAAGACCATAATCAAATAAAAAATGTCAGGAATTCTGTAAAGAGCTACTTGGGTAAACCCAGAGTGAACACCAATGGATTTGCTCTATTGAGATCACAAGGGCTGCTTTAATTATTAGCGATATGGATGCCTTAACCACACTCTCTCCAGGGTTTCTGAGATTACTGCGAAACTCCAAAGCCTCCATGCTGTAACAGCAAATGGTTTTATAATCCAGATTTGCGTTTGTCTGTGTGGTGATATATCACCTGCATGCCACAAGCAAATCACCACAGCACCGCAAGCTGAATATAACCTGCACTATAATCCAGATTTGCGTTTGTCTGTGTGGTCATATATCACCTGCATGCCACAAGGAAATCACCACAGCACCGCCAAGCTGAATATAACCTGCACCAGGGTGCGTTGTGTGCTGGGTGAAGGCAATGTCTAGCCAAGGCATTTTGGCAGTGTGTCCCCATCAGCTTGAATCCTGTCTTGGGAAGATATGAAGCCCAACTCTTACACTGATAATTTCAAGACTTTGATTTACTCCTGTGAGCACATGGCAGGAATGTAGCCCAAGAGTGTTTGTGCAATAGGATATAGACACAAAAGAACAATAAGATATAGGCACAAAGAAATATCCAGTGCTCTCAGCATCGCATTGTGTAGGATTTAATAACCACCTCTGTCTCCTGCCCCAGGCTGGCCCAAGGACTGCAGCGAGATGCCCCCTGGCAGCCGCAGCGGCGTCTACATCATTCAGCCGAAAGGTCTCCACCACCTTGTGGTGTACTGCGAAATGAACGTGACAAATGGGGGTTGGACAGTCATCCAGAGGAACCAGAAAGACACACAGGTCACCTGGGCTGAGTCCTGGAGCACCTACAAGTACGGCTTTGGGAATGTGCGCAGTGAGTACTGGCTGGGCACTGAGTACATCTATCAGATTGCCAAGCAGAAGGTCTACCAGGTCAGGTTTATTATCCAGGACTCCTCAGACAACACCAATGTTGCAGACTACAACCTCTTCAGTCTGGAAGATGAGTCCCATGGCTACCGGCTGAGGCTGGGCTCCTACACAGGGACAGCAGGGGATGCCATGACCTCAGACAATCCCAACACCATGCATGACAACATGAAGTTCTCCACAAAGGATCGGGATCAGGACACATACAGCAAGAACTGTGCCTACAGCTATGAGGGTGGGTGGTGGTACTCGGCATGTTACTCTGTGCGGCTGAATTTCAAGGGTGGCATGACATGGGGCAGCCTGTGCAAAGGGAACTGCAAATCCTCCCTTATCCTCATCAAACCAGCTACATATTGTTAGTGTTTCTTCCCCCTCCTGTCCACACTGTACACTCTGCGAAGGCTCTGCATGGCCAAAGACCCTGAGCCTTTCTGGAGCAGAGAGGGGAGCCCAAGGGTAGTAGGGGTTTAGTGAATTGTCACTTTCCATTTCCCCTGAGTGCAGGCTCCCCCTCTGCTCAGCTCTTTTCCCCTGTGCTTGCCAGTGATTCCTAGTTATTATGTTCATAATCAAGAATAAAGAAATCATTTGTGAAATTTGTGGATTCCACATGTACCTTCCCTGCGGGAGGAAGACCCTCAGCCCTGGAGTGGCTTTTTGTCAGAGTTTCTTAGCTGCCTCCAGAACTCAAAGCACACAAAAAAGCAACATGCCACAAATATATATTTACATAGACTCTGTGCCTCTCTGCAGCATCTGGTAAAGGATCCCAGTATATTTGCTTCCTTCTCCATTAATGAACGTCTGTTCTCCATCTCTGATGTGCTCCCACTGAGACCCAAGAAATCCCATGTCAGTCCCTAGGACTGGAGTCTTGGGGCTAGTTATACCAAGATACAGGACCTGCAATCTGTACAGTAGGGACCTGTCACATGGGAGAACTCTCTCCACATCATCACCATGTTCACAGTCCAGGGTCAAAAGCTGTGGCCATGTCCTGGTGCCAAGGTCCTGCTCCTGCTGGGAGGCTGCATCTGTCAGGATTTGTCGCTACTTCTCCATCTGCTTTGATCCCGCAGAAACGTGATTTCAAAGTCATCAGCAGATCTGTCTACTGTGACTAAGAAGCAGTGAAATTAAAAGGAAACAAAAGAGAAGTAGGTTAGATGTTAGGAATCACTTGAATTAGGAGACACTGTAATGAGGGAAGAACTTATTACAGGAAAGGGCTCACCGTACCCAGGTTTCTGAGACAAATTTAGATGAACCTTTGCCAGGAAAGGTGCAGACAGTGCTGATGCCATACAGCTGCTCCATCTCACAACACTGTGGCAAGGCCAGGACAGACTGTTGGAGAAGCCCTCTCACCTTCACAAACCATTTCTGGCTTTGTCTTGGGGCAGCACAGCAACAGCAGTGAGTTCGAGGACCAAGAGCTAAGGGAAAACCCAGCCCTCACCTGCCAGCTGCAGAGCCCAGTGCCCACTGGAAGCCATCCAGAAAGGTTTGAGAAATTAGAAAATAATGAAAGAAGTGAGCAGTGGAGGATCTTTGAGACAGAAAGTACTTGACACTGCTCCAGAGAACTGCCCTCAGTGCTGCAGAGCACTGGAGGCACCTGCACCTAGGAGTGTCTGAGGAAGAAGGGAGCTCAGGGCTACTTTTACTGAAAGCAGCTCTTGGGTGAAGCAGGCTGCACTTGCTCTCCTGAGGGACTCCAGCACCAAGCACTGAGACCCTCCAAACCAGAGCACAGAGGAGTGGTGGGACCTCACAGTACAGCCCATGTCTGCCTTGCAATGGGTACCACCACACAAGGGGCAGGGGGCACAGGGCAGCTCCAGGATGGACTTGACATTGGCTGGAAAAGGGGCATTAGATGGTAGCAGCAGGTGTAGGATGGCTGTCAGGAAGGTGCCGCCGCCCCACCCCTGGTTCTCTCAGAGAGGATTTGGCTTCCAAAGTCAGCAGGTTCGATGACATCAGGTGGCACTGGGCAGACTGTGAAATGACACTGCTGCTGCTCCTGAGTCTCTGGGGTTTTCAAGTGACAGGCAAAACGGGAGTTGCATTTGCACTGCTGGACCAAGGAGCAAATGATCCTCATCCCAGCAGTGTCATCTTCTGCGAGGGCTCTGCAAAGGCAGTGGAGAGACACCGGCCAGGAGATGCAGGAGAACATCCTAAAATATCCTCACAGCACAACTGGGCTGGCATCCACCAGCCCAGGAGGATGGGCTTAGCAAGTGCGTGTCTCTGTGTTACTATCCTGTCCCTCCACCACAGCATGGCCCAGTGTACAGACAGGTTCTCCTCTCTCCTGCAAACAGCACCAGCTCCACACAGCCCATTATTCCAAGCTACCCGTCTAAATGCTTCCTAAATCCTGCTGGGCTCTTGGCCACCCGAGAGCAGTGACCTGCAGCCCCAGGCAGCTCCCTGGCAGCTTCCCTTCACTTGGCTCCAGCAGCCAGTGTTTATTTGAGGTGACACCTGAAATCAAGCAGTGGACATTTGAATGCTGTCTCCCACCGGATATTTGCTCCATGGAAATGTCCTGTCCAGGACGGAGCAGTCTCTGCCCCAGTGGCAGTGCACAGCTCTCCCTGGAGCTGTGGTTTTTCACTAAGGTAAAACTTCCCTGGGAAGCAATCCTTACCTCCCATAAGCTCCTGGTTTGCTACTTTTCCCCAGCTTCTCCACCACATCTTTTACTTAAAGAGTAAGAGCAGGGCAAAGATACAAGCAGAGTTTCCAGCACAGAGATGTCCTGAAGCAGGCCTGATAGTCCTCAGGCAGGTTTCTGCTCTCTGAATTTCTCTTTCAGGTCTCTGAATCTCTGCAAGCATTTAGTGACCACAACACCCTGTGGGGAACAGTTCCCCATGATGAGTGTGGCAGCACTCCCACCTCTCCCCTCCCCAGGGGATGAAAGGGACCTGCAGGGAGCCAGCAGCGACGCAGTGCCTCGTTGCTCTCTCTCTCTCTCCTCTCTCCTGAGCCAGTGGGTGCAGCGGTGCCAGGATGTGCACAGGACACACAAATGCAGCGCTGTGAAGTACAGGATGAGACCAACGCAGTGACAAGCAGGATGCACAGCGTGGTGCAGTAGAGGGCACACACCGTTCAGTGCAGGATGCACAGCGCAGGGTGCAGGATGCACGTAGCGTGGATGCAGGATGCGCACGAGGGACTGCAGTCCAGGATGCACAGTGCTGGTGGCTGTGCCGAACGCGCACAGCGGGGTGAAGTGCTGGCAGTACACAGCAGGGTGTAGGATGCACACAGGAGCGTGCAGCGCAGGGGATGCCCAGAGCGGGGAGCAGGATGCACACTGCTGGGTGCAGTGCGGTTCCCCCCTCAGCGCGGTGCACAGCCCGAGCGCCCTGTGCTCAGCTGCGGCTCCTTTAAAGAGCGGCAGGGCAGGCGCGCGGCGGG